AGAGAGAGAGAGAGAGAGAGAGAGAGAGAGAGAGAGAGAGAGAGAGAGAGAGAGAGAGAGAGAGCTTGGTGACATTTGGACCCAGACTCGACATGGGCTTCAGACATCTTGACGAGGGATTATTTGGGACTTGTAACAAGACTTGGTGTTGACGACTTTCCCATCTCCCCCCTCCTCTTCGTCTGATCCCCTCCTCTTCGTCTGTGCATGTCTGGACCTGGCGCCTTCTTCCTGTGTATAGCGCCAGGCCCCTTCACACCTTGTGGTGAGAATGATGTATGTTTAGTCTGCATTGCGACATTGATTGGGCTCTTCATTAGTATTGTAGCATTCTGCTTCGCTCTCTTGTACTACGTGAAAGAGGTCAGTCCAGGTCAGGTCAGGACTTGTATCTAAGTCTTCCACTGCGCTATAAAGCACCATTCTTGTATGTATCGGAATGCACACTGCTTGTTGAGATTCTACTTGCACTGCATTGTCCATTCAGTCCTTTTTATCACATTGCAGATCCTTGGTTATATATGTACATCGCCCAACTGGGCATGTAACAGGGACGCTGGACCCGGTTTTTTCCCAGCAGGTGGTGCTCCTCCCCACCAATACATTGGAGCCACCATACAGAGGGGCGGCTCACTATTAACTTAATACTATTAATTAAGGGATTCTCATATCACCCCCATTGGACTTTTTGGCTGATGTTTGTCTGACGCAAAAAAAAAGGACCCTGTAGGCTAAGGCAAATTCGAGTCCATAAAAGTAGCAAGCTACTTAGTGCAGTTGGTAGAGTTCATCCAGTTTTCAATTCGTGAAGTAGTGGACTGACGAGGATGAGCAACACTATTTTGGGCAGCTGAAGGAGAGAGTCCGGCCGTAGCTATAGCCAGTCTTTTCTGGCTCCATACTTGACGGTTTTGGGTGCCGACTTTTGCAGGCTGCTCACTGCAGCCAGGCGCTGAAGTGGACATATCGTTTTCTCGTTTCTTTAATGAAATATATGCTGATGCGACTCATCAATACAAGTTCGCTATGAAGTGTGCAATCTCGAATTTGCCTCCGATCCAGTTTCCAGCAGGTGCTGCTCCCCACATATAGATCAGAGCCTTGTTATTTTCTTAAGAAAAAGGGAAGAGAATTTGTCTTGGCCTCCACAAACAAGTTCATTGCATCTGTCATCCGACTCCGTGCAAGGCTTGAAGAGAAAAGACCGTGGACAGTCCGATACCCCAGCTTCAAGTTCCAGACTGCATGCTGGAAAGGCAGCACAGACGCAACAAACAGCTTCGTCAAAGAAGTGTGAACTTACTGCAGAGATCGCTCATGAACTTAGGAATGCATGTATTCTGCGGACAATGGCTTCTCAGAAGGGCTTGGCTCGCGGTGCGGCCGTCCGGAAACCAACCCGTTGAGGAGCTGCAGGCCTATTTTGTTGCCTCGGAGCGCACTTCCCCCTTGTAAAGTCAGCGGGCCAGAATACGTACAAGTTGGGGCAAAGGAAAATCAAAGTCCAGGCATCTGCGAACCGAAAAAAAA